GTGAGTTTCAGGTCATTGGGGGACAATTTTGGTGGTTTTTATTTTTGATTGTAATCTAACAAACACAACATTGCAGCTAAACTCCATGTTTGATTTAGTTAAGTATTTAGCATTTATTAATTTATTTAGTTCATCGATATGTATTTGTTAAATGCCTAACTTATGCAAGATATAAAACTATAGGCAAAGAGGCTATACAGACAAAAGTATACTAGCTCATATTCAAAGGACTCAGGTGAAGACGTGAAAAAAAGAAAAGCAATTGCACTATGCTTAATAAGAACTATGACAATATATATTTAAAGAATATAAAAGATGATTCATAATTCCATAAAGGACTTCTTAAAATAAGTGAGATAAAAGCAAAAATTAGAGGATAAATAGGAACTTGCCTTATGAGGGCAGAGAGTGGAAGTAGAGATTAGCCAGGTTAGTAATAAAGGCATTTCAGAAATTGGAAAGAGCAGAAACAAAGGTGGAGAGGTAAGAAACAGTCTTATGTTCAGGGACAAAAAACAGTTTGGAGTAACTAGACTATTAAGTGTGAGCCATGAGTAGTAAGAGATAAAACCAAGCATTGGACAGGAGCCAGATGGTGGAAATTCTTTATACTCTGAAGAACTTGGACTTTTAAACTGTGGGCATTAGGGAGCCAAGGAAATATCTGAAGAATGAGAACTTTGTGGTCAGCCTTCCATGGCATTGATTACTTGGTATATAACCAAGTATGTGGACCACATATTTGTTGGGGACAAAATTGGAAGTAGAAAGACCTGCTATGAGACTCCTATAGTACAGATGAGAAATAAGGTAGCACAAATCTGGGCTAATCTCTCTAAGTGGGAAGTGATTTCCACTACTAGAAATGTATAGGAGGTAAAACTGACAGAATTTGCCAGTACTTTGGGAGCCTAAGCTTAGGGGTTTGAGATCAGCCTGGGCAACTTGGTGAGACCTTGTCTCTACAATAAATAAAAAAAATAAGCTGGGCATGGTAGCACTTGCCTGTGGCTCCAGCTACTTGGAAGGCTGAGGCAGAAGGATTGCCTGAGCCCAGTAGGTGGAGGCTGCGGTGGCCACGAGCATGCTACTGCACTCCAGCCTGGGCTACAGAGTGAGATTCCGACTCAAAAAAAGAGAAAAAGTGGCAGAACTTAATTATGGTTAGATATAAAGTATGGGAAAAGGAAAAAAGGAAAAGTATTTTTAAATTTTCTAATGTGGGTTTAGGTGGTTGGTGATGGATCAGCTGGAACAGGGAATATGACAGGCTAATATGGTTCAAAGTATAAAATGAATTCTATTTGGGGCATGTTGAAATTTGTGGTGCCTCTGGTATATTCAGAGAGTTGCCTAGGTAACAGTTGGATGTACAAATTTTAAGTTCAAAAATAGATGATGGAGATCTGGGAGTCATCATTGGCGACTGTTGATATTATGCACAGAAATACTGAATGAAATGCGAGGAAGTAAGATGAAAACAGAGGTCAATTATATCTATCTATCTCAACTTCTATTTCTGGCCAGTGCTCATACCTACCAACATCCTTGCCATCCTTTCTCATTTATTGTCAGTTTTGACACATGGCTTATTTTCTTCATCTCCAGTCTAAGCCAACCATCACAGACAGTTCATCTAGCTCTCTAGTCTCTCAGTTCCTTGATCCCTATCGAAGTCCTTCACCAACTCTTCAAGAATTTGTATTCATACACCAATAGCTTACTCTCTATCATAACATTTCAAAAGAATTAGGTTTAGGTGTTCTATTTTATGGTTTCAGACTCCAAACTCACTCTCGCTGATGTTTCCATTCTTGTTTTTTAATCTCAGTGAAATCTCCACTACTATCTGCTTCCACTGCTCTATTACGGTCTACTATTGCTGCCTACTACATTTTCATTATTGTTCCTTCTATTTTTAATTGTTCCATGTACCCCTGGATATAACCTTTCAATCATTAATTTGCTAATAATCTAAAATCATTTGCCTTGTTCTCATTTTTTACGTGTGCCTAACTATCCACAGATGAGTGGAATTTGTTTTTATGTTTTTATTTAGCAAACATTTATGTGAGACTTATATAAGTTATAGCTAAGAACTTCACAAGTTTTAACTGTTTTAATTTTCACAAAAACCCATAAGGTGGGCACATCCAGGTTGTTTCCTTGCAAGAGGAACTCACATATTGCACAAGTTTATTATCCCCAAACTAGAACACAAAATTCTTCTTTTATTGACTCTTATGGAAAAGTCAACCATCACGCTGTGAGAGTGGCCAAATTATGTCATTCAATGGTCTCATGGAGAAGCCCACATGGATAAAACCTAAGTCCACCAACGCACAGCCATCATCAGTCACCAGGCATGTGAGTGAAATGAATAAGCCTTTAGATGATTTTAGCCTCTAGCCTCTGAGTTGTCTAGATGAAGCCTCAGACAAGTTTATTGCTGAATCCAATATGCCTTTCAAGCCTTAATTCTACTTTATTTTTTAAAATATTTAACACAATCGACCAAATGTATACCGTTGCATGTTCTGATTTTTACTTGCACATTTCTAGTCTCTTCTTATCAGTTACCACTGAGACCTCCTCTACCCATTTTTTTCCCTTAGAGATCTGTTCTAGGCCCCACATAAACCAGTGGTCCTCAATCAGAAGTAAGCAGTTGAAAACAATTGCTTTATATGATGTTATACAGTTCCATGGCCTTTTAATTTCCTATATGTCAATTTCTTCTAATATGTATTTAGTCTAGATATCTCTTATGTGTTTCTGACAAATATATCAAGCCAGTAAGCAAGCATTAGAAATACCCTTTCATGTTTTACAGGTATCTCAAACTCAACATGCACCAGACTGATTGTATTGTCTCTCCTATCATAAATACTTTCTGTTTTTTTTTATATTTCAGCAAATGAGAACAATATCTAATTTATACAATTTCCTAAATTAGAAACCTAAAATAAAACTCTGTCTCCTTTTTCTCCTTCAGTACTGATTCCCACACCACTGTATAGTTAATCAAATTATATTGGTTCCATTTTATCAATACCCGTCTCTTGATTTCCACCTTCCTTTATGCAAGCTGCATAAATTCTTTTCTTAGTTATTTCGGTAGTCTTCTAATTCGTCTCATTTTTCATACTGCCTTTTTTCGAACTGTTCTCCCCACTGTAACTAGAATATTTCTATAGTAAAATTTTGAGTGTCTTTTCTTGCTTAATATCTTTAAATAGTTGGTCATTTTTCCCATAGATTTGTTCAAACTCCTGATTATAATAAATATGTCTTCAGCCTCATCTTTACCTTCTGCTTTACCTTCCACTTAGACTATCCTAATTTCTCTCCCACATCTTGAAATTCTGTCCTAATCAATTATGTCTTCTTTTCCCCAATTCTCTTCTTCAACAAGCTCTTTCCATGACTAATTCTGTTTCTCTTTCTTTGTCACGTTAAGATATATTAATCGCCAGGCTCGGTGGCTCAGCCTGTAATCCTGCGCCTTTGGGAGGCTGAAGTGAGTGGATTGCCTGAGCCCGCGGGTTCGAGACCCGCCTGGGCAGTGAGACCTCATCTCTACAATAAATCAAAAAATCAGCCGGACATGGTAGCGCATGCCTGTAATTCCGGCTACTTGGAAGGCTGAGGCGGAAGGCTCGCCAGAGCCCAGCAGGTCGAGGCTGCGGTGGCCGGGAGCGGCCACTGCACTCCAGTCTGGGAGACAGAGTGAGACTCCAACTCAAAAAATAAAAAAAAGAGATATATTAATCTTTCCTACTCCCATGATCTCCTAATCGTCTATGCTTATCCTTATCACAGAATTTTCTACCCATAATTGTAATTCTTTGTCTCCATGTTTGTGTGTCATTAGACTCGTGGCTCAATGATGACAAAGACTCTCTTGCTCACTATTACATACTCAGTGCTTAGAAAATTCTACTTACATAAATAATGTGGACTAAATAGTTACTGAAATAATGATTAATGAATGAACTAAAAGTGTCTGTGACAAATATACAGTAAGAGTTAACCTTAATAAGAGTCCTTGATATGGAAAGGTACAGGGATAAGCATGCTTATATAAGTTTAAGGGCTAGATTTGAAATGAGGAGTAAGATGAATAGTCTAGACAATCCTTTGATTAGTTAAATTTAGAATGGAAAAAATTAAATTTAGTGGAAGTTCTGATAGCAAGTGGGAGTAAAAAGTAAGATGCTATTGAGATTTGTAAATATTAAGGCAAAAGTATCATGTCTCCGTTATAACATACATTTCTCCTGTTCAATACATGTGGTGAGTTTGTAAGAGACTATCAATTTCTGTACTATTTCTTTATTTGTGATAGCAGTAGTCTCAAATAAGGAGTGTAATAAATATCCTATTCTGAAACAGTGAAAACCAAAGAATTAATCAGACAAGTTTAAAGAGTAAGGTGGATTAGGTATTGAATAACAGAGCAAAGACTTTCTTTAGAATATAGTGAAATTGTAAGTTAAATCATCGTTAAAGATTATATATTAAAGTAAAAGATAAAACATAAAATTTCTCATCAGAGTCTTAAATTAACCAAAGTCTTTTCAATGAATATTTTTAATGCATAAAATAATGTCTCTGAACAAAGAACAATTCCTAACTTCACTTACATATGTCAATAATTAAATAGTGCCTTCCCTAGTAATAAGAAATCGTAAGGTTATTTCTCAGAAAGTCAGAGTTTGAGGAGGAAAATCTAATCTTGAGTCTTACCTTTGACATTCACTTTTGCCTTTGTTGATGAAATTGAACTTACATCAAAAGACAGTGAACCATTATTGCTGTAAACCTGCTGTGTTTGAGATCCACTAGGAGAGAGTGGAAATGTTCTTTTTTGAGCATTACTGTGAGGACTCTTCAGAACACTTATTGATGTCAGATACAGAACTTTCTTAACTGAATACATGGTATCTGAAACATCACATTCCTTTATAAAAAATACTAGAATGTACTCTTCTCCTTACCTTGCTGTACAAAAGATCCATACACAAACCACATGGAGTTGTAGAGAGTAGTAGACGTCATTGATCCCATTTGTAATCGTGGGGGATTAAGCCAGTTCAAGAGGTATACCAGTAGACCCACCAAAAGGACTGTGCCAGCAATGCAAGCCCATAGAGAGAGATCAAATGGAGCAAGACAGGCAAACATATCCACTGTCTTTTCAGCCCTTCGAAGTAGTACCCCCACTGAGTAGTCCATGTAACGTGTTGTAAAGTCCACCACATTCTCACGATCTGGAGTGATGGTTAAAGCAGAAATTCCTATGTCGGCTCTCTGAGAAATTGAAAGAGAAAGAAATACATTAACCGTGTAGAAAACAATTTCATTTGTGCCACTTCAGCTTGCCTTGAGGAAAAAGAATAGTTGCCTCAGGCAATATAAGTCTTTATACATAAACTGAAAAACACTGCAAAGACTTCCTATTGAAGAGTGTGAATACTGCATTTCTTACTGCAAATCCCGCCCCACCGGAGTTAGAAAAATTACCTTGTTCATATTATCAATGCATGTAAAATCAGTGAATATTTCAGACACAGATAACACAGGGAGAAAATTGTCTTTTTTTCCTTGGGTAGTTTTATCAAAGCCGTCACTGACATAGTAGCAAAAGAAAAACTTATACAAAAGAATTCTTTGTAGGAAAATGTACCCACACTTTTAAATATGTTTTTAACATGTAAACTATTAGGTAGGTTATTTAAAAACTTCAACATGTCATTTTAGCCTTAGTTTAAATTTCTCTGAATCAAAAGTTTTATGATTGGTCTCTAAACATATTAGAGTTTGTTAGAATTTTTACGGCACAAACTTATAATGTATACCAGAGGTCTCTACCATGATTGTATTATATAAACTACAGAAACATTTTAATGAACAATTAAATATTAGAAAAACAGAATTATTGGAGTAATTACCCCTTTTTTCAGCGTCTTCTTAGATTCTCAGTGATAGCGCTTACAACTACAGCATATGCTATTTTTACTTATTTAAACCACATAACAGAATCACAGTGAAGCACAGAATAAATGACTTCACATTTAAATTCTATGCTATAATACATATTTAAATATCTAAAAGATGCATCTTCTTTGAAATAATAGTTTTTGACTGTGGTTAAAACTGCAGGAAACCCCTTCCAGACAAATATAAACATGAGTAAATTGTTTATTGAACATTTTCTGGTTATTTTTCTTTTTTTATTGTTTTATGAAAGAAGATAGAAACTTGTTTTATTGTTTTGGGGGACTGAAAAAAAAAAAAGTAAGACCCCTAGTGGAATGCCAGATCAACTTGGATGAATCTGGTTTCTAAAGTAATATGCTCTTTTAAAGATTCTAGCTAAAATTAAGCAATGTGTGTGTGTGTGTGTGTGTGTGTGTGTGTGTGTGTGTGTGTGTATCAAGCCCATATATATTTGTTGCTAGACTCAGTACTAAGTATTTACATACTTTTTTTTCCACTTAATCCTTACAATGAGCTATGACTTACGTATTTTGCACTTTAATTCACAAGTGAAGAAAATAAAACTTAGAGAGTTTAAGCAACTCGTTCAGTTCTTAGTTAAGTACAGAGCCTGATATTAAACCCTTGTTTTTCTTACTGCACAAATTGTGTTCATAATCATTTTACCATATTGCAAGTTATCATTCATTTCTCAAATGACCCATACAGTAGCCAGTCACGGTAACTGGTTTTAGAAAAATGCTTATCTTAAAAGAATGTAAGATTTGCTTTTAAAAAATTATACTATTTACATTGCAATAAGGCCATGTAAACCGTGAGTCTAGATTATGAACTGAAAGATATTAAGCTTAATAACGCTATATAAAATGAACTTGCAAAAAAACATTTTATTTCTTTCAAGTTCATACTTTTTTGTAGCTAAATATTGCAAATCGAATCTTTTCAGATTGAAAATCTGACCTGGATCTTTAGCTCTCTAGTTCTGTCTTCTCTGAACTTGTTTATCTATTGGTGAAATCAATGTAACAGTTTAGTATCACTATTATGAGCTGACTCATTTATCTCTATCTTAATGGTGAATAAATAACTCTCCAAGATTCAGTTAGGCTCTCAGAAGGTGCATCTACTTTTCAGAACATTAAAGTACTATGGATCAGTAATTTACTAATTGACCATTAGTAACCCAAAGCATTTAATGACTCAACCAGTCAGAAAATTCCATCTGAGGTGAAATTACCGACAGCATGTTAATTGAATATTTATAAGACACTCATAATATTTTTCTAATAAATAATTATTTTACCTTTAAATGTTTTTAAATTGGAATAGTCACTCTACTGATTTAAGTAATGAATACTTCTAAGGGTTGCAAAATGAGTTCCTACAGTAAAAATATCTAAGGACTTTATTAATTTAAAAAGGGAACTGATTGTTTTGTATGTACTAAATGTTTATTAAATAAAACAGATACTCGTCATATATCTTTAAAGATATGTTTAAGTTTTGGTTCACTTTTAACACTTGGCTATTCTATTTTCAAGGAGAAATTGCTAGCCTCCCTGTGGAGAGCATAACAGAATCAAACAATGAACTTTCAAAAACTGCACAAATACATCCACATGCACAATGCATACACACGTACTTTCCTGTCTCTGAGTTTTGTATACACCTTCCTAAAGAGATGCCCCATTGCATCCTTCAGAGTCAATGATATAGCAGACCACCGTGATTGATATGAGTTTGTAATAGTTCTTATTTGTGTTAGAGATAATATGCTAGAGTAGAAAAAAAGCGAAGGACTTCTGATTCAGAAAGATGGCTCTAAAATGTCCTGAATATCTATAAGCATAACCAGAAATGATCAGGGACAATTATTTATTCTTACTCTTCTATTTATTTGGTCAACTCACTTGTCCATTTTTTTACAATGACTTTTCAAATTTGTATCCTCCTGAAATCTTTAATATTGCACTACTCCAGCCTCAACTCTCAGATGACCTCCACTGTTATTATGTAGAGAACATAGACAATATGTGATTAAAATTCACATGTATTTCTACCTCCCAACCTATATCCCATAGCCAGCCTATTCCATTTAACTCTGTTTACAGTGGAGGAGCTATCCACCTTCCTATAAAGGGCCAACTCCCCATCAGTAAATCTCCCTATCAAAAAATCTCCATGTCAGATAATTCAACTCCTATGCATTCAGCATCATTCTAGCAACTGTGGATTTCACATTAAAAGATCCTTTAACTTTTTCTGGTTAAAAAAAGAGAAAAACCTTTCACTCCACTCTCTGTGACTTCCTACTCCCAGTAACTACCCTTTCTCTCTAGTCCTATACATCCTAGCCACTCGAAGAAGACTCTTTTGCACATTGTTGGATATTCTTCTACTCATGAAAACAACATTTCTTAATATTTGCATTGCTGAATCAAATAGATATAATTCAATGTTCATTTGATTAGTCCTTTTGATAACATTTGACAGTGATGACTGCTCCCGCCATCATAAACATTCTTTTTCCTTGGATTTCATGACACAACACAAATCTCTTTTTAAGTTCTTTTTCAAGGCCATGTCAGTACTTCTCTGGACTTGAGCATACACCCATTTCTTATTTGCAATCCTCTACCAAATAAGCAATCCTATCCATGGTCATTAGTCCACTTTCTGTGGACATCTGAACTCTAGAGTATATATCTGAACTCTAGGGCCTAGACTGATTTGTTCAACTATATAATTGATACTTCTGTTAAGTGTCTCAAAATACCTCAGATTTAACATGGCCAAGAACATCCTCATGATATTCAACTCTAACCAGTCCTCTTCCGATGTCTCTGCTTCAATGAATGACATCTTTTTACATAACTCATAAAACTTGGCGGCACCATTATCTTCCCTAGCCTATCCCTTATCAAATCTGTCACTATTGATTTTGCCTTCTGAGGACTCTAATATCCATTCACTGCTCTACTGTGTCCAGCTATCATCATTGCTTTCCTGAACTCCCATACCTTATGAGACTACCTGAGAACTAACTTTCCTCTTGTCCTACTGCAGCCAAAGTAATCCTTCTGTAGAGCAAATTTGATTCCGTCCTTTCTACACTTTAAAGGTTTTCAGTGAATTTGCATTACTCTTAGGAAAAACATTAAAATCTTTAACATGGTCTATACACCTTTATATAGATTATCTCCAACCTGCTTCAACATATTCATACTGTGCCATTTTCCTTTCCAGCACTTCCTGATGGCAAGGTCTTTGTTCATGCTATTTTCATTGCCTTACTTGTGACACTTTTTCAAGTAAACTCTTATTTATATTCATATATCAGCTCAAGTATCCCTATTTCAAGGAAGCTATCCATGACCCTTTGATTAGAACAATAATTCTTCTTATTTACACAATCAGAAGCCTATATTCCTCATTTCCTAGGTATTATGACAGTTATAATCTTAAACATATTTATATAGTCCTTTCAATAATGTCTGACTCTTTTGTTATAGCACAAGATCCATGAAGACAAGGATTGTGACTTGAAAAAAAATTTGCCTGGCCTAGGATTTATGGTCAATAAATAATTCCTATGAACATATGAATAAATTGAGATAGAACCTCAACTAATTCTTGTAAATCTCTTCTCTCCTTCTGTCATCATTCTCAGTAGAGAAAGGTTTTTAAAGAATAAAATGGCAATACAAAAATTTGCTAAGTTTTATAATAAAGATAAAAGATTAATATCTTGGTGAATAATTATTTTAATAATTAACATAAGGTTCTTGATTTATCAGTGTATTTATGTTTGTCAGTTGTTCTTAGCTAATGTAATTAAGCACCTACTGTAGTAAGCTTGATATATTAAAAATATTATGATATCAGGTGTTTACTGTAAAATTATTATTTACATTTTTTAAGATTAGCACTAAAACTGTAGTGTAAATTAGTTTATTTTCAAAATTATTTTAATTACATGTTCATAACCTTTTCCTTGGGAGAAGGTATAAGATTTGCCTTTTCTCAAGTCGTGAAAAGGAGATGGATGCATAATACAATAAGGCAGGGATAATTAGCCATAAAATCACTGAATCTTAGAAGCTTAAACTTAGAGAAGTTAAAAAGCATTTATTCTAAATTCGATCTGAAGTAAATTATCAAATCTAACAAGTAATCATCTTATTTATTCTTGAGTATAATGCTAATAACATTATATTAATAAGACTAATAGCTATGCATTTATTAGTGCTTACTGTACAGCAAATTCCATTTTGTATGGTCTACATATCTTATTTTATTTAATATTAAAAAA